CTATTACAACGACGCCCCATCATTAACGAATTTTATAAACGTCGTTTTATTTTTTTGTGGCGTTTTTTTTGTAACGCCCCAACTTCCGGGCCGTTAAATACGTACAATAATACAACGCAAGTAGGATAGATAACCAAAACATCTTAATATACATATATAACCAGAGTAAATATCACAGGTAATTCGTTTATGTTCCATTACAAGATTACCAAAACATTACCAAACCAAAAGTCAAAAGGAAAACAAAAAACAACTAGTCTAAGTCTTCAAATGAACCACAGCTCCAATACTTCATCTTATTTGCCTTCAAAATAACCTTCAGCATTGTAAACTGCTTCATCACCTGGCATGACACGCTATGAGCTTGGAATGCCCAGTAAAAACACACACACCCCCCATATCTTCTATCAACCAATCAGCCATACACAGAACAAATTGGGTAACATAACTTACAATATTACAACAAGGTTCTATGAATTTGTAGTTAGACTAGACGACTAGAATCCCCCAAAGAGATCCTTCTACCCAACCACAAGGATTGAACACCGGATTATTCAGAACTCCCCCTTTTGCTGTTTTGCAGACCTTACCATCTATGCCCACCTCCCGATTATTTACCGGTTAATGACATTGACAAATTGGGTAACATAACTTACAATACTACAACAAGGTTCTATGAATTAGTAGTTAGACTAGACGACTAGAATCCCCCAAAGAGATCCTTCTACCCAACCACAAGGATTGAACACCGGATTATTCAGAACTCCCCCTTTTGCTGCTTTGCAGACCTTACCATCTATGCCCACCTCCCGATTATTTACCGGTTAATGACATTGATGGACCTCAAAAGGGACGGCCAAACAAGTGGGCTCGCTTACATCCAAATCGTGCCTAGGGCTCGCTTACACCCTGCACATACCATACCAAATCGTGCCTAGGGCTCGCTTATACCTTGCACATACCATACCAAAGGGCTCACTTACACCCTGAAACCACCGCATAGAGTCTGAATACATCCGTGTCAACCTAGGGGCTCGCTTAGACGGCTTGCGTAGGACTTAACTCATTTGGTTTTAATTCCATTCACATGTTTATTACATAAATCATTCTAAAGCACAAGGGTGAACGTCACCCATTACCAACCCCTTTCCATTTCCCATTTATTAGATCTTCTGCCAAGCAAGCTAGTCACATTCGGTAATTCGGTAATATAAAAGAGCATGAGACAAACATAAGAAATGAAATATAGCCCATGATAATCATACATAGGTATGGTAAGGCAAGCAAATAACATTAGGCATGCTTTAAAACACTTAGAGACAAACAACACAACAAAACACCATTTCCAGTACTGTTTGGTTCTGCAGGTCTAACAAGAGTGCTTTGGGAAAAATACTTCTAGGTCAAATTAGGGGCTGAAATTGCACAGAAATAATAATTAACCTGTCTAGTTTCAATTCCAATTCACAAAATGTGCATAGCACCTCCAGAAATTCATCTACAGGCTATATTCGAAAACCTGTCCAGATTTGTCACCCGTTGGGAAAACTAGCTTTCCTCTCAATCTACCCAATGATTTTCACCCAAATAAATTCCATTGAAAAGAGGACTCAAAATCATAAATTTGTATAGAAGAACCAACCTGAGATGTTTTTTCTGGAATTTTATAAAATTGCAAGAAGTGGACTGTTTTTCAGAGACTCAGGACCAGATCTTTAAACAAGGTATCCAAGCCCTAAAAACACACAATGAGGGGCTAATAAAATTACCACAAGCTCTAAACACACCAAATATCTCACACTAAATTCAGAATTAAGAAATAAATAAATTTGATATTTCTTTTAAATTAGAGAAATTGCAGCAGTGCCTAATTTGACAAATTTGAAAGGCAAAGTCACTAAATCAAACCCACACTCTTATATACATCAAAAACCCTATTTCCCATTAACATGCAACACAAGAGGGAATCTAACAATAGGATGGGATGGTGAAAGAATTGGAGAAGACAAGGGGAAGAAGTGTTCTTACCTTGACTCAAGAAGGTACCATTTTCTTCCGTCTCTTTTCTTATTCTTCTCTACTTCCCTTTAATCACACTCTCCTTCTCTCACCCTCTCCTTGGTTACTGGTATGTATGTGTGTGTGTGTGGAATTGAGACAAGGCTCTCAATTTATAGGAAATAAGCTTGGTCTTAGCTTAATGACTAAGGAAGCATAAATATCTAGATATTCACTACTACAAATATAGATAAAGATCACACTTTTTTGGTGTGATGTATATTTTTTAATCACACCTTTTAAGTTTTATTAAAGTGTGGTCTTTAGGAGTGTGATTAAAAATAGTCATTTTTAATCACACTTTTTAAGTGTCATTAAAAAATGCTTTCATCACATCTTTTAAGTGTGATTAATAATATTTAGATCACACCTTTTAAGTGTGATTAAAAACATTTAGATCACACCTTTTAAGTGTGATTAAAAACTTTAGTTCAACACCTTTTAAGTGTGATTAAAAACTTTAGGATCACACCTTTTAAGTGTGATTAAAAACTTTAGTTCAAACCTTTTAAGTGTGATTAAAAACTTTAGTTCAAACCTTTTAAGTGTGATTAAAAACTTTAGTTCAAACCTTTTAAGTGTGATTAAAAACTTTAGACAAAAGTGAAAAATAAACAAATAACATAACAGAGCAAAATTAAAGCAATTATAGCAATTATAGTCCATTTCTAAACCTTTTTTTCTCCTATTTTGTCAATCTTTATTTTGGACCTTTTTAATAAAATATTGAATTCCTTTAAACAGATTCAGATTAATAAAATATTAATAAAATATAAAATACAGTCACAGATTCAATTAAATAGATTGAATGTAAACAGATTCAGTTTGAATGTAAACAGTCACAGATTCAGTTTGAATGTAAACAGTCACAGATTCAGTTTGAATGTAAACAGTCACAGATTCAGTTTGAATGTAAACAGTCACAGATTCAGTTTGAATGTAAACAGTCACAGATTCAGTTTGAATGTAAACAGTCACAGATTCAGTTTGAATGTAAACAGTCACAGATTCAGTTTGAATGTAAACAGTCACAGATTCAGTTTGAATGTAAACAGTCACAGATTCAGTTTGAATGTAAACAGTCACAGATTCAGTTTGAATGTAAACAGTCACAGATTCAGTTTGAATGTAAACAGTCACAGATTCAGTTTGAATGTAAACAGTCACAGATTCAGTTTGAATGTAAACAGTCACAGATTCAGTTTGAATGTAAACAGTCACAGATTCAGTTTGAATGTAAACAGTCACAGATTCAGTTTGAATGTAAACAGTCACAGATTCAGTTTGAATGTAAACAGTCACAGATTCAGTTTGAATGTAAACAGTCACAGATTCAGTTTGAATGTAAACAGTCACAGATTCAGTTTGAATGTAAACAGTCACAGATTCAGTTTGAATGTAAACAGTCACAGATTCAGTTTGAATGTAAACAGTCACAGATTCAGTTTGAATGTAAACAGTCACAGATTCAGTTTGAATGTAAACAGTCACAGATTCAGTTTGAATGTAAACAGTCACAGATTCAGTTTGAATGTAAACAGTCACAGATTCAGTTTGAATGTAAACAGACACAGATTCAGTTTGAATGTAAACAGACACAGATTCAGTTTGAATGTAAACAGACACAGATTCAGTTTGAATGTAAACAGACACAGATTCAGTTTGAATGTAAACAGACACAGATTCAGTTTGAATGTAAACAGACACAGATTCAGTTTGAATGTAAACAGACACAGATTCAGTTTGAATGTAAACAGACACAGACTAACAGACACAAATTCATGAAATTAACTGGGCAGTGAGTGTTCAGCTGAAGCACAATCATAAAAGAAAATTTATTTACTTACCAAGTTGCCCAACTTTGAGACTAGTTTCTTTACTGTAGGCTTGAATTGCTAAATGACTAATCTCTGGTCACAAAACCTTGTGTGGAAGAATGAAGATGAGTACAAAATCAGCATTTCCGTGTAATATTTTTTCAAAATTCAAACTATAGGAAATTCAAAAAACAAATATAGCAAATTCAAGCAGAGGAAGATTGAAAATTGAGGAAGGTAGCTGGAGTTTGATATAAGCCTCTAATCTGGGCTGGTAATACTTATTTGAACATTGCGAAACTTTTTCATGACCAATATGGCATGGAGGGCAACAAATCCACTAAGATTTGGCTTGTTCATTGTCTTTCCAAATATATAATGAACTTATTTTTTTTGGGAGCCATCAGTGATCAAGTCTTCTAAAAGTCAGTGGTCAAGTTTCCCTAAATGTTTTAAATATGAAAGCACTCAACAAAATAGTTTTCTAACTATAGTTAATCATGTTGCAGGTTTTTCTTCAAGTTATGGAGTGCTTACTCAATCGTTTTAGTCAGTCAGCATTTATCAATTCTGTTCTGGATACTACTTTTCTCTGTTATTTTCATCACTATTGGCGAGAACTTTCTTAAACATTTAATAACAGATAGATTCATATAGATTATTCCACGTATTATTAAATTCATACCAAAATTAACAGACAGATTCATACCAAAATTATTCCGCCTATTTTTTCTAAATTCCACCTAGTTGGTCAATCTAAATTCCAAACAAAACAATTAATAACAGACACAATTAGATGCCAAAACAGATTCAATAACAGACACAATATGAATTCCACGCTCGATGATACTTTGTATCATTTACAAAGGAGTATTATTTATGTGTGTCAAGCCAGAAAATGTTGCTAAGCCGTTTATGAAGTTTGATAAACAGTTTTCATTTACAAAGGAGTGTTATTTATGTGTGTCAAGCTAGAAAAGACCAATGAATGCATGGTAAAAAATGTGAGCAGGTTAAATCTAGTCAGTAATGAAACTTGTTTTAGATTGAATAAATTAATCCTTGCAATATTTTCTCTATTTGGTTATATTTTGCTCAAAAACTATTCTCCAAAATGGTAGAAGGTACCCATCAGGGAAAACAGCCCAATCAAATTAACTTCTACATAGAAAATCTCCGAGGTGTCATGCAGCATTTAAAACCCTTAGCTAATAGGTCATCATATAAGTGTTTCACAATGATAAAAATAAGATAGAAAATATATATCACTCACCTGATTGGAGTTCCTGGACTTTCACTCTACTTAAAATACCGAAAACACCATTAAAAAATAAACAAAGTTCTAACCTAGCCCTCCTGTTCTGGAACCACACCTCCACCTGACGAGGTCTGAGCCCAAGCCGTTTAGCCAAAGCCAGCTTTTGCTTCTGCAAAACAAAGCCCAAAATTCTCAGTAAAATACCGAAATACCCCTGACCTCCATGGAAGACCAGTAGTACTGAGCTATGTACTTACCAGATTGAGAGTGTTGTGAACTTTAAAGCATTCTTCGAGAATCATCGACTGGTCTTTGGAGAGACGAAGCTTCTTCCTAGAGGTATCACCGTCTTCTTCGTCGCTGATTCCTCGAGATGAAGCTCTCTCAAGATCGAGATCGAGATCGAGATCCTCTCCGTTGGGCTCCTCTCTCTCGCTTCTCTTCCCGCTGATACTCGAGATCGTGCTGTTCGGAGACGAAACTCCAGCTTCTTCCTCGCAATCGATCGTCGAAGGAACTTGATTCACGTCGATTCCTTTCAGCAACGATCTCGTCTCGACTCTGCAAGTCTCCGAGTTTCGATCTGCATGTATAGATCCCCAAATCAGTGAAAAAAACGATCGATTTAAAATATATAAAAAAAAATGTTGAATTACTGTGAAGATAATAAAGCTATAGATCTGTTTAGAGAGGATCTAGAAAGTTGAAAAGTAGGCCATTATTGAAGCTTGAAGATGAAGCAGATCTGGAAAGTTGAGAGAATCGAAACAGAACAGAGATCGGAGAAAATACACGTACCGAAGGAAGGAAAGTTTTTTTTTTGGGAAATTTTGGGGGGAATTTTGGAATAATTTGTTAGTTTTTTTTGGGGGGGGGAATTTTGGAATAATTTGTTAGTTTTTTTTGGGGGGGGGAATTTTGGAATAATTTGTTAGTTTTTTTTGGGGGGGGGAATTTTGGAATAATTTGTTAGTTTTTTTTGGGGGGGGGAATTTTGGAATAATTTGTTAGTTTTTTTTGGGGGGGGGAATTTTGGAATAATTTGTTAGTTTTTTTTGGGGGGGGGAATTTTGGAATAATTTGTTAGTTTTTTTTGGGGGGGGGAATTTTGGAATAATTTGTTAGTTTTTTTTGGGGGGGGGAATTTTGGAATAATTTGTTAGTTTTTTTTGGGGGGGGGAATTTTGGAATAATTTGTTAGTTTTTTTTGGGGGGGGGAATTTTGGAATAATTTGTTAGTTTTTTTTGGGGGGGGGAATTTTGGAATAATTTGTTAGTTTTTTTTGGGGGGGGGAATTTTGGAATAATTTGTTAGTTTTTTTTGGGGGGGGGAATTTTGGAATAATTTGTTAGTTTTTTTTGGGGGGGGGAATTTTGGAATAATTTGTTAGTTTTTTTTGGGGGGGGGAATTTTGGAATAATTTGTTAGTTTTTTTTGGGGGGGGGAATTTTGGAATAATTTGTTAGTTTTTTTTGGGGGGGGGAATTTTGGAATAATTTGTTAGTTTTTTTTGGGGGGGGGAATTTTGGAATAATTTGTTAGTTTAAAATAAAAGTTTATTTTCTGTGGTCAATGAAAAATATTTTTCTACGGCCTATTTTTTTTGGTTAGTAAAAATCATGAACTAATTTTTTATGGTAGAGGAAAGGTAGCGACATTAGTGGTGGAGGTGGTGGATAAGAGATGATGGTGGTGGTGGTGGTGGTGATGGCGAAAAATATTAGTGGTGAAGTTGTGGTAGTGGTGGTGTAGATGGAGTGGAAAGGGTGAATGAGAGGTAATGGTAGTAGTAGCGGCAGTAGTGGAGTGGTGGCGATGGTAGTAGTAATGGTAGTCGTAGAGGTGAAGTGGCGACAGTGGAAGTAGTGGTGGTGGTGGAATGACGTTTGCAGTAGTGGTGAAGGTGGTAGAGGAGATGGGTGGTGAGAGAGAGATAGATGAGTGAGAGATGGATAGAAGAGATAGAGAGAGAGAATAGAGCGGGAATGGAAAACAACAACAGGCAGGAATAAAAAATATTTTTTTTGTCAGAAATGAAATTTAAATAACAAAATAATGTCGTTTAACTTTCTTCTTTTTTTTTTTTTTGCGACGAGAGTTGCCGTCATCAAAAAAAATATTTTTTGTTAAAATATATATTTTTTTGTAATTAATGATTTTTTTTTTTTTTTAGAGGATAGAAAGTGGCAGTAGTGGTGAAGGTGGTGGATAAGAGATGATGGTGGTGGTTGTGGTAGCCGCGAAGGAGATTAATGGTGAAGTTGTGGTAGTGGTAGAGTAGATGAAGTGGCAAGGGTGAATGAGAGGTAATGGTAGTAGTAGTGGCAGTAGTGGTGAAGGTAGTGGATAAGAGATGATGGTGGTGGTGGTGGTGGTGGTGGCGGTGAAGGAGATTAGTGGTGAAGTTGTGGTAGTGGTAGAGTAGATGAAGTGGCAAGGTGAATGAGAGGTAATGGTAGTAATAGTGGCAGTAGTGGTAGTGGTGGCAATGGTAGTAGCAATGGTAGTCGTAGAGGTGAAGTGGCGACAGTGGTAGTAATGGTGGTAATGGAATGGCGTTTGCAGTAGTGGTGAAGGTGGTAAAGGAGATGGGTGGTGAGAGAGAGAAAAATGAGTGAGAGACAGATAGAGGAGAGAAAGAGAGAGAGAGAGAGAAAGACAGAGTGATGAGCAAGAGAGAGACAAAGTGGTCGCTAAAAGTGCATTTTCTTGTAGTGGATAGATAAATCGAGAGGAAGCTCAGTAAATAGAGAAAACAGAAGGGAGAGAGTGAGCAACGCGAACATAGTGGGAGAGAAAGAGAGAGAGAAAGATAAGAGAGAGAGAGGGACAAAAAGATAGAGAGTGAGAGACAGAAAAAAGATAGAGAGAGAAGAGAGATGAACGAGAGAGAGATAGAGAGAAGAGAGATGAGCGAGAGAGACATAGAGAGAAGAGAGATGAACGAGAGAGAGAGAGAGAAGAGAGATGAGCAAGAGAGACAGAGAAATATGAGAGAGATAGAGAGATGAGAGATGAACGAAAGAGACAGAGAGAGAAAAGAGATGAGAGAAGAGACAGATGAGTGAGAGACACACAGAGAGAGAGACAGATAGACAGAAAGAAAAGAGTGATGAGTGAGAGAGAGAGAGAGAGAGAAGAGAGAGAGGAAGATGAAAAAATAGGTGAAAAGATATAGACAAAGAGAGAGGGAGAGAAAAAAAGAGCGAAAAGAGATAAACGAGAGAGAGATAGAGAGAGATGAGCGAGAGAGATAACGAGAAGAGATATAGAGAAGAGAGATAGAGAGAGATGAGAGAGATAGACAGAGAGAAAGAGAGAGAGACAGACAGACAGAGAAGAGTGATGAGTGAGAGAGAGAGAGAGAGAAGAGAGACAGAGACAGAGAGATAGAAAGATGAAAAAATGGGTGAAAAAGTTCCGTGTCTAAAGCCTCATTTTCTAGTAGTGAGTCATCTCTATCATTCATGGGTAGAATAGAGGCGTGGATTTGGGAATTATATATTTTATATAAAAATCAAATTGAAATATTTTATACAATCACACCTATTTAGGGAGTGTGATTAAAAAGTAGTAATCTATATATAATCACACTTTAATTAAAATGTGTGATTAAAAAATATATATATAATCACACTTATTTAAAAAGTGTGATTAAAAAGTAGTAGTATATATATAATCACACTTTAATTAGAAGGCGTGATTAAAAAATATATAAATAATCACACTTTAATTAGAATGTGTGATTAAAAAATATATATAAAATCACACTTATTTAAAAAGTGTGATTAAAAAGTAGCAGTGTATATATAATCACACTTTAATTAGAAGGTGTGATTAAAAATATATATATATAATCACACTTAATTGAAAAGTGACATAAAAAATAAATATTATCACACTCAATCAAATTAAGTGTGATTAAAATATCAATCTAATTTTTTTTATCACCCTTCCAATAAAAGTGAGATCTTTTTTTTTTGTCAAAGTGTGATCTTTAACTACTTTTGTAGTAGTGATTTTTTTTTTTGTTTTTCAATCAATTTTCCACCAAAATATTATTTGTGACACCTATGTACATATTCAAATAAATAATATTATATTCAAATAAATAATAAATAAAAGAACAACAAAAACAAAAATAAAAATAAAAATAAAATGCATGAATTAATTTATAAACTAAGAGGTAAATAAATAAAAACCAAGTTTTAGGGTATTTCCAATTATAAAGTGGTGTTCTCGGTTTAATTTTGATAATATGCAGGAAAATTATTCTTTATTGGGCCATTTTACAGACTTTTACGAAACTAAGTGCTAAAATACTATTAAACTAAGGCTCAGGGTTTCATGTGTAATTACCAAAAATTAAGGTCTCTACATTTTTAGCCTAGTGCGGCGTTTTGTGACGTTTTAAAAATGCCGCTAATTCCCGATTTTCTTGTAGTGACGGCTCATTAAGTTATTAGTCTCTTATTTTTATTAGGTTAGGTTTAGGATTTCTTTTATTATACATACATGTTAAATCCATTGTGAGGGGATCATTGCCCTTTTTTAATTCAGAATTGTCTTTCCTTTTATAGAGTTTTACGATTTTTTTTTTTTTTTTTTTTTTTTTTTTTTTTTTTTAAGGCTGGGGTGAAATTCCAATGGATTATTTGTGAGTATTTTATGATTCAATCATGGTTTTAGATTATATTGATTGATTGATTTAAATGTTTTTGGGTAAAATTTTTATTTTGTATATAATTGTTTGTTCTATCGTAGACTTCAAGCACGATAGAAGTTTAGAATTCTCTGCGAATCAAATAATTAAATTTTTATGGTATAATCAATGCATCAAAATAATCAATATTTTGAGATATTTTTTTTATAAAATAATTGTTTTATCTTCCGATTGAAAACACTTTTTGTGTGATTTTTAATTGAATTATACATATTGAATAAGAAATATTTTACAAATAAAATATTGGTGGTGAATCCTTAATGCCTTAGTACTTTTAATTGGTACTTCAAATTATATTTAATCAATAATTTTCTCAAATCATTAAAATATTTTTCAATCAATTCAACTTTATTTTATATTATTCTCAATTACTTGGTTCTTTACTCGAATATACTCAGACTCACCGAGACTTTATTCTTTCATGATAATTTACACTTAGGCCTCATTTGGGAATAGATTTTTTTAGTAACTTTTTGACTTTTTAACTAAAATATGATGTAAAAAAAATTAGCATGTTTGGGATGACTTTTTGATTTTTTTACGAAAAGATATGTAAAACGTAGAGAAAAGGGAATCTTTAATTTTTTAGTACAAATTATTGACTTTTTAATTTTTTTAATGACTTTTTTATTTTTTGACTAAAAAAATCACTTACCAAATGAGGGCTTAGAGCATCTCTAACAGTGAACTATTTTTTTCATCAAATCTGAGGAAAAAAAAAACCGATTTTCTTAATCTGATACAATGTGCTACAATGGTTGCACTGTAACTTGCATCAAAAGACTGGAGATGTCCGGTGGAACGATCGGCCGGTCGACCAATTAAGGGACTGAATTTTTTTCCCCCCCTCCACAGCACTGCACAACATAGAGATAGATTACTTTGCAACAGTGGGATTAACATCTGCAAGTAAAGAGGAGAATCAAATTGTTAGCAAATTAAAAGAGGTCCCTGTGTCTTTTCAATCACCTGACCAATATGTGGACATTTTCCGACCATTGGTATTGGAAGAGTTTAAAGAACAGTTGCATAGTTCCTTTTACAAACCAAAAATTCATCTGAAATGTTAAAGAAATAAAAAATAAAATAAAGTCAGAAAATATTGAAGAGTTTAGATCCATTTGAGATGAGAGTGTTGATGTGGAAAAGGAATGGGAAAGGAAAGGGAAATTTGGGCGTTGAGAGAAGAGTTGGGTGTTTTTACCTCAGGGTAAGGAGGGATTGAAGGAGGTTTTCTGACCTCTTCAGACGCCATTGAAAGTTGCAAGGAGAGAGAGAGAGTGTGTGTGTGTGAGGAGAAGAGAGAAAGAGATAGAGAGAGAGAAAGAGAGAGAAGCTTTCAAGCTTTCAACGGACAGGCCAACTTTTGAAGCAGTTCGCTGTGCTTTTTCTGTCTAAACCGGATGATTGGTGGGAAATCCGGCCAGACATTCGGCCGGTTGTTCGGTGGACCCACCTTCAACGTAAACACGCAATAAAATGGTGAAATCTCACCCAGTCCTTAATTTGGTGAAACTTTTGCTCCGTTCTCAATTTGATATCAGTTTGGTGAAATCATTGGAGAGAGAAAAAGTAACTTTTTTCATCAAATTTAAATCTGATGCTCAATCTGATGCAACGTTGGAGATGGTCTTAAACATACACATTTAAAGGTGTAGCAAGTTTTGGCACCATCACAAGAAATTATGTCATTGTTCAAGAAGTGCCAAATTGTATCACGTGGAGGTTTGCGTTGTGATTTCTGGCAACATTGTTAAACTCATCCCGTTCTTATTTATTTATTATTTATTCTAAATGCATTTGCATATTGTTAACAACTTGCGAGGGCACTTCTCATTAATAAAAAATAAATAAATTAAGGGGAATTTTTTTAAGGTCCATAATAATAATAATTTAGAGGATAAAGGACACCAAAAAAATAGTGATGCATCAGGTCCTTGAACAACTTGGGGCGCTTTTTTAATTATTTTGTGGACCAAAATACCCTTCCAAAAATCAACACAGAAATGAAACTCATTCTGACGTTTGAGTTCCATTCCAAGCATCCAACATCTTCACGAACAAGAGAACATCAGAATTAGGGTTTCAATATCATCTTCACCATCGACATTAGAGCCTCGTTATCTTCTGTAAAAATCATTCACATTCCTTCCTCACAAATTTCTCTGACCTCGTTCATCTTCAAGTTTCATCTCAGTTCATCTTCGTCATCTCAGTTCATCTTCGTCACGTCGCATCTTCATCTCAGGCCATATCAGCTCGTCATTCAAGTTTCATCCTAACTTTGGTAAGTTTTTCTACAATACAAGTAGATTTTCTCTGGAAACACAGTTAATTGCATTTTATATTATCCTTCCATAAATTAGGGTTTCAATTTTGTAATAAAAAGCTACCTGAATTTGGAAAAAGTTATTTCTGTGTGTTTTGAACTTATTCTTGAGCATATTTGTGTGATTTTATCTGTAAATTTCTCTGGCATTTGAATGTCTTTGGTTTTTGCTTGATGTATGTTTCTTCTTTCAATTTTCTCTGGTATGTTTATTTTGAAAAAAGTAATTTTCTGTGTTTTCATCTTATTCTTGAACATGTTTCTGTGATTTTATCTATAAATTTTCCTGCTTTGTAAATTTCTCTGTAATATGTATTTTTAATTGGAATGTCTATCTTTCTCTGGAATATCTATTACTCTCTTGTCTCTGTCTAAGTTTCTCTGGTATTTATAATTTTCTTTGACCACATCACATCAGTTTCCTCCCTTGTGTGTCTCTATCATGTTTAATTTTCTCTGGCATTTTTTATGGACTGGAATGAATGTTTCTTCTTTGAATTTTCTCTGACATGTGTATTTTGAAAAAAAGTTATTTCTCTGTGTTTTGATCTTATTCTTGAACATGTTTATGTGATTTTGTCTATGAATTTCTCTGCTTTGTAAATTTCTCTGGAATATGTATTTTTCTATGGAATGTCTATTACTCTCTTGACTCTGTCTAAGTTTCTCTGGTATTTATAATTTTCTCTGACAACATCACATCACTTTCCTCCCTTGTATGTCTCTATCATGGTTAAATTTCTCTGGTTGTGTATGTAAATTTCTCTGGCATTTTAATATTATGAATTGAAATTTTCTCTGGAATGGAAATTTCCTCAAGAATGTGTAATTTCCTCCAGAATGTGTATTTTTCTCTGGTATGTTTATTTTGTTCAATTCTTGGTTTCAATGTGGTGTAATTTTCAGTGGCATGTTTACATTACTTTGTTTTTTTTTATCTTGCTAATTGTGGAATGGAAATTTTCTTTGGCTTGCCATGTTTACTTTTCTCTGTCATTCATTTTCTCTGGTATGTTTACTTCTATATGTAATTTTAACAATTATTGAAAATTTCTCTCCCATTTTTATGATGCTTTGTTGATTTTCTCTAACATTTAATTTTTAATGTCCAAATTTCTCTAGCATGTCCAATTTTCTGTAATTTTCCCTTATCTATAATTTTCTCTGACATCTCCAATTTTCTCTTATCTGTAATTTTTTTCCTTATCTGTAATTTTCTCTGACATGTCCAATTTTCTCTGGCATGTTCAATTTTCTTTGGGATTTAATGTTGACATCTTTATGTTTTAATCATTGTCTAGAAATGGCAAAACGTAAAAGTAGCGAAACACCGAAAACACCATGCAAGAAACAGAAACTCTCTCAGTCTTCTTAGCAGCTAAGATAAAAAACTAGTAGCAAAACACTGAAAACACCCAGCAAGAAAGAACAACTCTCTCAGTTTTCTTATGATCCAAGATCAAAAACCAGCAGCAAAACACCACAAACTCCTCGGCAAAACACACAAGTCCAAGGTGATGAAGCAACTAGCATCCAGATGAGTACCCCAACTTCAAAAGACTCAAGCTCAAGGGGAAAAAAACCTGTTAAACTCCACAGAAAGAGAACTCACTACAGCATTCAATATCGATCCAACCTCTCATCTGCTGTCTTCTTTTTTCAAACACTTAAATTCAATTCAAACCAACTTGTAGAGCTTCAAAAGACCCCATTTTGGTATTTGATCCAAGCTCTAACCACTGGAAGGATGGATCCAAGGAAATCTAGGAAATCTGATGATGATGTAGTTGCCATAATCCAATGTTACAATGAAAAAAAAAAGCATTCACAGTTGGTAAAAAGAACCCGACCTTTACAACAAATGACATGACCTTGATTTTTGGTTTGCAAGGAGGTAAAGGAGCCATGTCATTAAGATACTCTAAAAAGCCAAAATTTGCATTCCTAAGGAGAAGATTCCAAAAGGACACAAGGCTGACTGGTCCTGTTCTTAAAAATGCCTTGGTCAAAGCAATGAAAGGCAAGTAACGAACTAACTTCAAAGATGTAGTAATTATTGTTACATTGTACTTGTGTCTCACCCTATTTTTTGCAACAAGTGGGAATTCAATAGGGTGGGTTTTTATAAAGTATGTGGAACCTCTTGAATCAATGAAACAATATGATTAGCCAGAAGCAATCACATCAGCATTGATTGATTCTATCATAGCATTGCACAAAACTCCAAAAAAAGTTACGGGGTGTGTCATTGCATTGCTGGTAAGTATAATATCCATTCAAATTTGCAGTTATCATACTTACAAATTTGTGCGTTTAGAAAATTTTAATTACTTTAATTTTCATCACAGTATTGGCTATGTGAACATGCAAATATCATTGACTCGGAAGACAGTAACACAACTGACTTCCCAAGATGTGCCAAGTGGAACCTACAAACCTTGACGAAACAGCTGCAGAAGACACCAGTCCACTCTCTTGCACCTCGACAGGTTAGATTTCTATCGCTACTAAAATCTCAGTGAAATTCCAAAATTTCTTTGAACATTTTTTCCCTCCTTGTGCATTGATTGATTAAGATCAATTTTCTCTGAACTATCAATTTATGTTTTCTTCTTTGGTACCAACTGGTTTATTTCTGCCATTCTAATCAATTTTCTCTGCAATCCAAATTTCTCTGACCACGATTGTAACACATTAACTTATATGCCCTGATTGATTTTCTCTAATATCTGAATTATGTTGGTTGTTTCATAATTTTCCCTGGCCCATAAAATTGTTTCTCCTTTTCAACACTATTACACACACAAATATATAGAGAGAGAGAGTGATATATAAGTTATATCTCAGACTTGTTCCACCTCTGGAAAGGGAGAGGAGGCCCTCCTTTTATAGAAATTCAATTCCTAAGCTTCTTGGAGAAGCTAACATAAGGGAGCAAATCCCTCCATACACGTGTATGGAGGGGGTGTATCGTGGATGCCAGTTGTGACAGCTGGTATAAAATATCTGCCAAAAGCAGATGGAAAGGGGTTGGCTGGAAAATATGGCTGATTGACCAACAAAAATGGCTGACCGACCAAAAACATTGCCGACCGACCAAAATATTTGGCCGTTAGTAAGAAAACAAGGCCGGTGGCCTCAAACCAAGGCCGGTGAGGTGTGTGGATGGCCAACAAGCTATTCCTTGCCCTCAGAAGCAAAAACACAAGTGTTTGGTGCACAACCAAGCACAAAACAAGCAAGTCGAGACGTCTTGAGGCAAGGCGCGCGACCGAAACCTCCGAGAACTCAAGACGAACACGAGCATGGATGATCACCGAGTGTTCAAACGGTGACGTCCAAGTCTTGAGGACGGTCAAAAATGGAGTGTCTACAACATAGTACTTTTCTTTGCCATTTTCAAATTTATGTGGATGAATTTGAAGCTTCAAAACACAATACACAGAGAATTTTCTTTACCATAGGAAAATTTCTCTGGATGAAGTTGACAGGTATTACAAACCCACTGCCTATAGTATATATCAACAAACACAATGCACACTTTAACTGATATTGGAAAATTTCTTTGGATAAATTTGATTGATATTATTATATACACAGTCTAAAAAATACATTTCACAAAACAAAATACACAAAGTAATCATCAAATCTATTATTCAATCAATAAAATGTATTATCCTCAACTATTTAACAAAGGTTCCTTGCATGTCCTCTCATTATGGCGACCAATACTCTCACAACGACTACACTTAATCACCCTTTTAAACTCTCTAGTAGAAGAAATTCTGTTCTTTTTTGGCCTCCTAGCTGGTTTCTAACTCAATGGAGGTAAAATCACAGCATCATCACTGCTACACACAGGTTTTTCAATAGTTGGAACTGGGCCAATCGAAAACGAGTATGCTTAATGATACATATTAGCATGA